TGTCTTACAATTGCCCAATTCAGTTTTTTTAAGCACACACTGCACAATATACTCCACTGGTACAAGGATCAGATGGATAAATGCAGCAAAAGTCCTAAAATTGCCTCGAGTATTTTTGTTTTGACCTACTTCTTTTTGGTTATCCATATTCTAATCTTTATTCCTGAACTGAGAACATTGCTGATTGTGACGTTAACTCTTCTTTAAGAGCATGCTGGTGAAGCTTCAGCCGGCCTCCCAGACTCGGCTTCCTCCTTACAACCCTCTGCTGCCTCCACCTGCAGTCTCACAAGTCCTGCTGTTAGCCAATCCTGAAAGTGTGAGTAGAAAAGAGTCTGCTTGTTTCTGTTTCTGCTCATCCAAAGCATTTGAACACTTGGTATGCAAATTAGAATTCAATGCTTATTTTTACTGCCCTGTCAGACTTCTGGATTTTTTATTTTTTGGCAAGAGATTTAGAGAATACGACAGATTGTCATAATATTCCTGTTCCTTTCAGGCCCTTGGCAGCTTTTATAACCAATCAGCTTTTGAGAAATGTCCGCTCTTTGTAATGTTATTATGGCACCAATTTCCTAAAGTTACAGTTTAGACTTTTTAATGTTCCATGTTTTGTATGCATATTGGGGTTTTTTTGTTGTTGTTTTTTTGTACCCTGTCTATCAATTATAGCTTTAGAAAAAGGATGCAAATGAATTGGAAGAGCAGAAATAACTTATTATCACTCAGTGGGGAAATGGTTGATTTGACCCAAGAAGCCTGGATGTTTGAGCTGAATGTATAGCTGCATTTCCAATACAAATGTGCCCAAAACTTTGTGGACATTTGTTCATGCGATAAGTCAAATCAAAAAAGAAAACATGCCGCGCCATCTTCCTAACACTTTGTCGTTTTTTTTTTTTTTTCTTTTCCTCCAATAGTCGCATCCGGTCGTTGATAGCATGACTTGTGAGATGCAAAAAACATGTTTACATTGCAGTTTTTTTAAATGCACTCATTTCCATGTAGCCAAAAAACTCATCCTAATGCAAAAACATTTTCATTGAAAAACGTGATTTGTTTTTTGAAATTGGTGTATTTCCATTACGTAAATTTATTTTGCAAAGGGTTTGAATAATTTATATATTATAAAATCCTGTTATATGGGAAAAAAATTAAGTTTTTATCATTTTGCAACCAATAGTTTTCTTGTATGTGAATTTATATAATCATAACACGTCTGTTTTTTTTTTTTTTTTTTTTGTTTTGTTTTTTTTATTCTTTTTTCTGTTCTTCCAGCGTAAAGTTCGGCTACGCTACAAGCTGACCCTGACACACGGTGACCGGGGGCTCGTCGAAGCAGGAGAGATCGAGACCTTTCCCGACTGGGCAATTTTGACTGGACAAAAATAGAAATAAAAATAACGACACAAGCTCAAGAATGTCATTCTGCTGGAGCTAAAATGCAGACAATGTAGGCAGAGGGAGAAAACTGAAATTATTGGGAAAAGAACAAGGCCAACTAAGTGAGGGCGAGGTTCATGTGGAATAAAGCAATGCAGCAGCGATGAATTTTCAACAGTTGAGTGCTTCAGTTCTCAGGTGATAAAGGTACAGTCACTGCTTTTTGTTATGTTGGAAACACAAAAACGCTGAAGTCAATCTGTGGCTTTCTATTTGTAGGGATTTTATATTTTTGTTAGATTGATATAAATTAAATCAAATTATCTGTAGCTCATCTGGAATGCGCTACAGACCACAAGAGGGCGCATTTCAGTTCACAGGCTGCGGGTAAAACCTCACCGACCTGGTGTTTTATTAGTCTTATGAATCTTTCAATTCCTGCTTGATGAACCTCTTTGTAAACAAGTCTGGAATAAAATTCAACCATCAATATTTGTTAGGCAATAATAGAAACTGCTGAAGATGTTTTTAAATTTTAAAAATGCCTTAATTGTTATGAGCTCTATGGGCTTTTTATCCAGCTGGGAATTCTTCTGATACTGCTCTGACTGTTACATGTTTTGACCTATTCTTTTAATATGATTACTGGTTACAAGTTACTGGTTATAGATGTGCACATTAAAACTTTTTCATGTCCATACTTAAAAAAAAAAAACTAGTGCATTTACTGAGAAAATCTGGTGCTTTATAACACCAGATTTGGTGATAACGGTGGGAAAGTATCTTACTTTATTGTCATCGAGTCCGTAAATCCTTGCAAAATTAGTATTTAGGAAATTAAGAGTTAAGAAAAATCTGAAAAAAAAGAAAATGAGGTAAAACTGAAATTGTGTAAGTGTGTCTGAACTGGTAATTATTGCAACTCCTATTCATGTGTAAACTCATTTCATTTAATTATTTTGTTATTTTCATTTTTTTCACTGCTTAATGTTTTTGCAGCCACTCCCCAACACTGTAGCTGTCATCACTGGAGTATTATCTTCTTGCCAATCACATGTATGGCTGAAATTTTCCAATGGAAAGGCAGTTATTTTATAAATATAAAGATCAGTGTATTGTTTTTCTTCTATAAACTTAATATTATTAGTAAATGCATAACATGCCATCAGTTGTTTAATTATTGAATGTTTTTTTTAATGTCCGATGTAGTCTGATATTGTAACAAAATTAGCAAATTGATTCTTTCCTGATATAAAGTTTCACTTTTCAATTTTTTCATCCAAAATCTCTTAGTCTCATTTTTTTCAATCATTTGACTATTTCAATTTGTATATTGTATAAAGGAATATTGCACAGTATTTCAAAAATACTGTGCAGCACTTTTGCTGTATAAATAGTGCTTTATAAATAAATTGACATCAACAATGAAAAGAAAACCTTCAAGAGATATGAAAATATGTAATAAATTCTCTTAGATTTGTACATGACAAAGTCAAGTAAAGGCAACCCTCATTGTCAGTGCTGGCCCAGAGCATGTGCAAGTTAACCCATTTAAACCCAGCGGTCATAATAGCAAACAAGACATTTTTTCACTTTCAAGGACTCCAAAAAGGTTACTGATTAAATTTTCAGTCAATGTTCCGCAAATATTGAAAGTTTAGAATGTTTAGATAATACGTATGCAGTATCACATGTTTACAATAAATAATCACATGACCAGAGCTCTTTATATCTTGGTTGGCGAGAGGGAGGCTGCCACCAACCTCCCAAAGAAGAGGCTAGCTAGGATGTATGTTTAAATAAACATATGTTAAAAGATTCTTGGTGCACATCATCTTTAAAGTGTCTACTTATGATATACACCTTTAAATTTACAAAAATTGGTTTGGTGCATGAGCATGATGTGTAAACATGTTGACAGTCAAACTAGTGACCGGTAGGACAATACATTTTACCTACATAGGTACGCTTATTTAAGTACATATCAAATTCTTCCAATTCTAAATTTCTTCCTTTTTAAAATAAATTTTGAATGTGGTTCTTGATCTGTCAGACTTAGTGATGGTCAGACAAAGTATATGACAATGTAGTTGGGAGAAAGATGGAATCTTTACCGATTTTGGTAGTTGTGGCTTATGCAGGAATAATCCATGCCCAATTTTGAATGCATATGATCAATTCATGGGAAAAGAGGATGATATGACCCCTCACCGGTCATGTGGTGCTCTGTTACCACCTGCCACGTTTATGGCAGGTGGTAACAGAGATGAGGGGACAGTTGTCTCTGATGTATCCTTTCAAACTAAAGAGGATCCAAATGAGGGTCTGAGTGAGACTGACAGATGTTCATAATTTTCAATAATATAAATGAAGGTCTCTACTATAGATGTTATTTTTATGATCAATAGTCATGTGATAACATAACACTACAACTGACTGAAGTTTAATTATGCATAAACACTCAAGCACTCAAGTTTACCTTGGTTTGGAATATACAGATTGTCAAATTTGTACTTTACAGAGCAAATGTTGCACTAGAGTAATGCTGTGGCAAGATATATTCAAATGAAGAAACAATGTTCACCTTTAATGATCTTTTCTATTAGGAAAAAGCACTTTTAGCTCATCTTAGTAAGAACATCATATTATCCCACTGGTCACAATTGTGACCGATCATAAAACACACTTTTTCATATATTTTTCCACAATTTTTCTAAATATTTCCCATTGATTAGGCCAAAGGGTTATGAATGAATGACATCTGATTTTAATATTTTTATGTCTGGGGAAAAAAATTGGGATTAAATGGGTTAAGCAGCTACTAGGGCTCCAAAGCTAGCACAATTTTATATATGTTTATAGAAATATAAAATAACGTTGAATGATAAACTAAATGCTATTACACATGGAAAATCGATTTCTAAATTATTTTTAGAGTTGTGACACTAATACGAGGTTAATCTCTTCCTGATGTTGGCTGCTGCCACTGTTTGGGGAAATATAAGATATCAAACTTATTAACTCGTTCACTTATTAAGTTGTTTACCGTTAAAACAATAAATGCTTTAACATTTAGTGTTAAAGCATTTAGCTTTAACACTAAATGTTTACAATAATAAACAGTATTCATTACTTTCAAATAATTAAAATAACATGGCATATTTAAATACCACTCTGAATTTCACATTTTTGCTTTCAGATCGCTACTCCTTTAAGGTTAAAATTAACAACCATAATAACTGGTGTGATGTAAGATAATTACAAATTATGTAGCTTAGGAGTGATACAGCATCTGGCGTGATGCGTTGATATTGGGGGGGTTCAAATAAAAATCTGCTCAGGACCTCAAAAAATCTTGGGCTGGCCCTGCTAATTTATAAATGCAAATTTAAGAGTAGAAGAAAAGTTCAATTTATTTCCGAATAATCTGTGGTCCCTTATACAATGCAACTTTTGACCGACAATATGAATAAAGTATCATTCTGTTTATTTATTTATTTTCAAACTAAAACTTATTAAAAGAAAACGATATGGGAATAGGACTCACAGAGCCTCACGAGGCTCCGAGTCCCACGCTGTGAGGAACGTGGTGACAAACCGGAAGTGTTTGTTGAACAGTTAAAAGCCACTTGACAAAGCCTAGCTGAGGTTAGCCGTCAGCCCCGGTTCCGTCGTTCTGCAGGGATGGAGGTTACACGACAAAGTAAGCGGACAGCCCGCCTTTGGTTTTAGTTCTATCCCGTTGTTGCTTGCCATGAAACCCTTAGCACATACACATACCTTGCTAAGTAGCACGGTACGTGTATGCTATAGATACAAACCAGAAACGCAGTGTATGTGTCTCAGCTTGTGGCTAGCATGCTAGGTAGCATCACTGCCTCAATGTGCTCAGCTGCCTGAAACCCCCCCAGACCGCTGCCTTTAAGACGTTAACCCACTTTATCTTCCCCCAGATTTTAAAGACTGCTTAAGCGCGGTGTACAGCGCCATAGAGGAGGCGGACTTCCTTGCTATCGATGGAGAATTTTCAGGTTACTGTCTCCGCATTTTGTGGCTGAAACGTAATTACAAGAAGCCGCCACGATATGTGTGAAATTGCGGGTTTTTCTTTCAGGTATAAGCGACGGTCCTAATGTCAGTGCGTTGACCAACGGGCTGGATACACCTGAAGAGAGATACACGAAGCTGAAAAAGGTTATTAAAACCCCATTTCTGAGGAGAACATCGATGTTTTTTTTTTTTAATTAATAATAACATTTTTATGCAACGTCTTGTTTTTTACCCACCAGCATTCCATGGACTTTCTCATGTTCCAGTTTGGCTTGTGTACATTCAGATACGACTCTGGGAAGTCAAAGTGAGTGTCCTCTTGTGCATAATCACACACGCAACATCTGGAACAGATTATGTTGGTGGTCTGCTAAACACATGTAGTGTTTTCCTTTTGTTTCAGCATAAAAGTATAACATATATACGTGCTTGACTGTATCAAACATAGTCCAGCAGAAAAAAAAGATGTGGATATGAAAGTTTATCCATATAATTGCTGCCACTGGGCATATCCATTTATGAGCCTTTATATCCATTTACTGACCCATTTGTCCATCAGTATATTTAATGTTTTATAAAGAGACTAATATCCATGGATATTTGAGTCTGCAAAAATATGAAATTGTGACTTTTTGGTGTTTTTATCTACCGTTTGCTGTTCTTTTTATTGAGGCTGCTAATGTTTGTTTGTGTAGCCAGGCCCCCACACCTCCTTATTCTATGTAAACGTCTTTTTTAGTATTCCGTTTCTCTCCGCAGGTACGTTACGAAGCCTTTTAACTTTTATGTTTTCCCGAAACCATTCAGTCGGACGTCTCCCGATATAAAGTTCATCTGTCAAGTAAGCATGGTTTTTCTGCTGTTCTGGCTCTCTAAGCTTTGACGTCTGACGCAGATGGTTTTCTGCTTGTCACTGATATTTTCTCTCTTTTTTTATTTATTTATTTATTGTATTTTAAATTAAAAATTCATACTTGGTGCTTTCTTTTGCCATTCCAGAGTTCCAGCATTGACTTCCTGGCGAGCCAGGGGTTTGACTTCAACAAGGTGTTTGGTCATGGTAAAAAGAGCACTTTTGTTTTTATGAACAAATATATATTTTCTATTGACTACAGACGTTAGACCTTTTAAAACTTAAAAAAAAAAAAACTCAACAACTCACTAATCAGAAAAGTTCAAAGGTTTTTCCAAAGTCAAGCTACTGCTGGTTAGTTTTAGTTTTTTAAAAGAATATGTATATATTTCTAATTTTTGAGATGGGGGACAAATCAAAGTCTCAGTTCAGTAAGAAGCAGATGTCTATTCTTAAAGAGGCATAGCATGGTTTACTTGAAGCAAAAATTGGGTTTTGAACTCTGACCTGGTTTCCCATTTTTCCTGTGCATGCAAGTCCTCACGGTTCAAAGATGACAGTTTCTTACTGAACAAATATAATTTGACTAAAGTGTCTGCAGGGCGTTCTTTCTTCCTCTTGTTTGGATTAAAGTGAACGCTTAGCCAACGAGTTCCCGCAGTACAGAATCCACGATGATGCCACCACAACACCGCTAGTGCTTATGGCAGCCGTAGATCAGAGGTTTCCTGTGCGGTAAGCGTTAATCGGTTTTCTCTGCGTTCTCAGGAATCCCGTACCTAAATCAAGACGAGGAAGCTCAGCTGAGAGAGCAGACGGAGGAACGGAGAAACCAGCACGCTAACGGTCTCGGGACGCCTTCCTTTATCTCCCCGTCATCCTCCAAAGTCCCTGCACACGTACCCGACGAACAGAAAGACTTCATCAACAAAGTGGTGTAAGTGGCGCTGCTCTGGAGGTCACCTTGTTGATACTGTATCTGATACAGTGTCTGATATTGTATCTGTTGGCAAAATACTAATAAAAAAAACAAAACTGAGTCGGGTGAAAACTCGACGAAACATGAAAAGTCAAGCCACCAGTTTGGATTGGGTTTGATTTTGAAATTTTTCAGCTGAATCATCCAACGTTTGACATTTACAGACAAAATGCAGTATAAATTGGGGATCCTTCTATGACCTTTTGAACCTTGTAGGAAGAGTTTATGTCTAAGTCCCATCTCTCTCTGTCCATTTCTGTGCATTTTTAAATCAGAGAGAAAGTTGAGAGGCTTTTCAATGGAAATGGGAAAACTCTGAACTTGGACCCATGTACAGGGTAATTTTTCCTCTTTTCTCTAAGAGCCATTCCTATCCTTTTTTTTTCTTCTTCTTTTTTTTTTAAAATCATCTTAATGTCCATATTTTCCTCCTCAGATTCCAGAGAAAGCTGATATACCAGACACTGAGCTGGAAGTGAGCGCTACTGAACATGTTTTAACACTTCTTCATTGCATCTTCATACAAAATTGACATTTATCTTGTCTCGACATCACAGGTTTCCCAAAGGTCTTCATGTTGAAACATTGGAAACAGAAAAGGTATGCATACAGTTGATATTTTTAAATTTTTTTCCATTTTCATGCCTTGTGGGGTGTAAGTTGCTGACTCAGCTGCTCGTGTCGGCAGAAGGAGCGCTACATTCAGATCAGTAAAGTTGAGGAGGAGGAGAGGAAGAGGAGAGAGCAACAGAAACTGGAGAAGGAGCAGGTGAGTTTATTATTACTATGTTGTATCATTTATTATGCATCATGATTTCTTACTGTTGTTGCAATAAATTCCAGTTAATAGTGTTTAAAAAAAATTTCCATTTCTTTCCGTTGTAGTTTTAATGTATTATTTTTTTTTGGTTCAATGAGGGCTTTAATAAATGTGTAAATCTGGTAAAAAGATGATTAAATAAGAACATTTCTTAGGAGTATCAGTCACAGCTCTACAGTGACTTAAAAAAACAAGCAATAAAATATATCGCAATATATTGTGATGAAACTTTAAGTCGTCCATAATGCCCACCTGCTTAGTTTTCTGTATTTGTGAGAAAACCTTGATGTGGTCTCATTAATATAAATGCTATGAGGAACACATTTCTTTCCTAACAGGTCTCTGTCCTGCATTTCTCCTCTTTCCCCACCAGGAGGAGCTCAATAACGCTGTGGGCTTCTCCAGGGTCATCCACGCCATTTCTAAATCTGTGAGTCACGCCTTTCATTTCATTCCATGCAAACCTGATACTTAATTGGAGTTTTGAGTTTATCATATCTTCTGTCATTAATCGTCATAAATTTCTTCACGCGATAAATTTCATTTATTATTGCTATGATAAATCTCAGCTAAAGTTTCGAACCCCTGCTCTCCAAAAACTGCCCACATTATTGTTAGTTTTCTTATTTTCATCACTATTCTTGTGTCCGTAAACATCAATAAATGTGAAAATATGATCAAATGAGGTTAGTTTAGTGGTTTAGTGAGACGAATCCCGTTTTATGTGACTGATGGTGTAAAGAAGTGTATTATAACTTGTCATACAGTCACAGCCACATGTATAGTGACCTGAAAGTAGAATAAATAATTATCATTACTTTTGTCATCACAATAGTATTACAAAATGTTGTGATAAAACTTTCAGTCCATATCACCAGCCCTTAATTTTAAAAGGAAGAATGCAGAGTTTTTTCGTACTGTTTGGGTTAATGTTATGGTTTGCGGTTCTGACTCGCAGGGTAAACTGGTGGTTGGCCACAACATGCTTCTGGATGTGATGCACACCATCCACCAGTTCTACTGTCCGCTGCCAGAGGTAAAAATCAATCCTTTTTCCTTTCCTGTAGTGTTGCATGAGTCGTTTAAACTTCTAACCTGTCTGATTATGTCCCTACTCTTTTCTTAAGGACCTTCAAGACTTCAAAGAAGTTGCAATGTGTGTTTTCCCAAGGTAATGTTCTTTTAGGAAAAGATGCATTTCTGTCTTAAACTACTTTGTTTTTGCTAGGGCTGGATGATCATTCAGTAACAATAAATGTCACGATAGAAACGTGATCAGTATCGATAGATTCACTGAACTCCAGAACTGCTCAGCATTCTGGGTGATATAGACAACGTACATCTTTGATGGCGAGCTAAGCAAGGCATCAGCTAACTCACTCACTCTCTGGTTACATGGTAACAACTTTAGTAACTTGTGGTTACCTAGCAACAACCTGTTGTGTAACTTGTGCAGCAGCAGTTTCAATTGACTGATTAAAAAAATAAATAAATAAAATTGTTTTGGAGAGAAAACTGAGAAAAACGCCTCCGGCTTGGCAGGATGTCAGATTGTTAAAACTAGGGAGCACAATAACTTTTTATGTATTTCTTTATGAAAATTGACAGTTTTCTGCTATGAGGGAAGTTAAAAAAAATAATAATAAAGCTTTCTCCAACTACTCTGCTGTAACTTGAACTTGAGCGTACAATTTTATATATAAAAAAAAAAAACTAAACCCACCAAACATGTTATTGTGCTATTCTTTAAATCAGACCAGACTGATAAAGATGTCACAATTTATGGGGCTGACGGTTATCTTCCACCTCCATTTAAAACAAAAAACTAATTGATAATTATCTATCAACCAATATGAAACACTTATTTTGTGGTACATTTCTCAGCCATATCGTCCAGCCCTAGTGGGGTTTGTTTTTTTCTTTGTGTGTTTTGGATGATTTATCGATTTGCTTCTTATCCACTTGTAGACTTCTAGACACAAAGCTGATGGCCTCCACTCAGCCATTTAAGGTACAAACCAACCTCACTATTCTGGTTCTGTCAGCAATGATGAATCTGTTTCTGAGCAAAGATCTTCTGTCTGTCCAACAGGAGCTGATCAACAACACATCTCTGGGAGAGCTGGAAAAACAAGTGAAAGAAACTCCATTCAAGCCACCGCAAGTTGGTGAGTCAATCCACCGGGAAGCATCTGAAATTCCTGGTAATGACCCCAAAAGTCAAGCGCTGGATGTTTTTTCTGCCTTCGTCGCGGATAGAAACCGCCGAGGGGTTCCCCAGCTACGACACGGCTCAGGAGCAGCTCCACGAGGCCGGATACGACGCTTACATCACCGGCCTGTGTTTCGTCTCCATGGCCAACCACCTGGGTAAAACAACCAATTTCAGTTCTAGTTTGGATCATGTGTGTGGGTTTCATTTCCATTTCATTTGTTGTTCTTGGTTGGTTTTATGATGGATATTTCAAAAGTCTTCAAGTTCCAGTGTGAAGTGTTGTGCACAAAATGAAAGTTTTAGTGTTTGAGCTGGTAGACTTGCTTCATTATGGCAATACTTTTATATTACCTGAAAATGTTTTGAAACAATAATCTTATTGTTTATTGCAATAATTTCAGGAACAATTCACCGTCAAATGGTGACAAGTCTATTGACACTAGCTTGTAAACTCTCAACTATTTGATTTGGATTTTAAACACACATTTGAATTTTCTCGACTTTGTTTTGCAGGTTCTTACCTGATGCCGCCGATGTCTTACATCTCCCCCAGATCGAAACTAGTTGAACCTTTCTTCAACAAGTAAGCGATTCATTTGCTTTTTTCATTAAATGCTCAAGATTACGTTTCTTGTTTTACAACTTTAAAATCTGTTTTTTGTTTACTTAGGCTCTTTCTGATGCGGATTATCGACATACCCTACCTCAATATCACCGGACCAGATTGTAAGAAAACTCCCGAAACGCAACTTTCTCTAATTTCTTTTTAGTTGTTCTATTTCTATTGTGGGTTCAGCTGTAAGTATTTGTTTTTGAGGAGGTGGTTGTAAGAGGGAAAAACTAGACTGGAGTCTATTTTAGGGATTTTAGGTTTTGGCCTTTGAATAGCATTGGCTTCAATCTGAAAATTGTTTTACCAGCATAATGTATTTTTAAAAAGTCGATTTTCTAAATGAACCTTTCTCAAATCCTTAACTCCTCTTTTATTTTCCTTCAATAGTGCAGCCGAAGAGAGACCATGTCCTTTACGTGACCTTCCCCAAGGAGTGGAAGACGAGTGACCTCTACCAGCTCTTCAGTGCCTTTGGTAAGGTATCAGAATATGTACGTATTCTGCTTTTAATCCGATACTACTCTGTTGATGCTGCTTTTTTGTTTGTCGTACGCCCCCAGGTAACATCCAGGTGTCGTGGATAGATGACACCTCAGCCTTCGTCTCTCTAAGTCAGACAGACCAGGTGCAGATCGGTAAGTCTCATGCAGCCGGGCTGGAGGGATGAACCGCCGTTGGGCGTTAATGGGAGCTCTGTTCCACCAGCTATGAACACCAGCCGCTACGCAGAGAGCTACAAGATCCAGACGTACGCAGACTACATCCAGGGGAAACAGCAGGAGAAGGAGAAGCTCGGCCAGCCAGCTAAAACCTGGCGGGACGACGGCTGGGTGAAGCCCCACTACCCCTCTTCCACTACGTCTGCTGGGTTTGGGTTCCCCAGGTAGGGCCGCCAGCAGCTTTCTCCACACATCATTCAGCGTTTGATTTGTTTCCTTCTGTGTTCTAGCTTGTGGTGCATACATGTTTTTAGTTTGAGGTTTTCTGATTTTATTCTAGGAGGAAACGCAGCATCAGTCCCACTCAGGGGGAGCAGGGAGGCGACGATGGCATCAGCGGGGACGGCTGGAACCACTACTCATTCCCAGACAGCACTGGCAGCAAAAAGATCAAATATGATGGTGTGTGAGAGAATATGGATGTATTTGTGGGGCTGGATGATTGAATAATCTGTTATTCAGCCATCATATAGACGCTATTCCACCAAGTTATGAAGCTTCTTTGAAAAAAAATTCTTCCTTAGAAATGTGGACTGGATGCTGACTTTAGCTTTGGAGACGTCTTGTGCTAACTGCAAAATGTTTAGCGTTGATGCTATTTTAGGCTTGAATAGCTTTGCTAATAGGCTATGTCCTTCAACCCAACTTGAACACGATAATCTTTTTTTCATTATTCAAGCTGATTGTTTTCTGATGTTTTTTCGTTAGCAGATGTCACTTTGTGGGTCAGATTTATGGGCGTAAGTATTTAATTAGGTCATTAAAATGAATTTGCTTGACCCTAAGAAACAAATAGGCTAATTTTGTCAGAGCATAGCTTTGATTTTTTTAATTTTTTTTTTATATATACTTTTGGATTAAGTAGTTAGGACAGTTTATTCAAGGAGAACATTTTACAACATGGAAAAAATGTGTTTTAGGTTAAATAATCTGCCAGTACAATTAACACTTTCAAAGTTACTTAAAAACTGAGAAGGTATTTGTAAAGTAGTTTTGTCTTAATTCAAGTGTATTAAGATATTTGGACAATAATACTTGGTGAGATTTCGTGGGGGGTTTTCAATGTTCCGACTAGGAAATGCAGTATATCAAGCGTGGCTTAAAGGTTTTCTTGGCCCACTTTCTGCTGTGTTTCCATTGTAATAAGTGCAGCGTATTGATTCCTGATCTAAACTCGTCTGCACTGTTTCTCCCTCCAGATGTCGGCGGCCAGGCGAGCGTTGAAGCCGTGGAGAGCAAGACGTCAGAAGGCTGGCTGAAGATGACGTGGGTGGAAGGACGACTCCTGTGCTGTCCAGGTTCTCTCTGCTGCTGCTTTATGTTTCGTTTTCTCCTGCAGAAATTCTTCGTATTCGGCCGAACCAAGCCCAGTCGCAGATGCTAAAAGTCCAGAAGGCGCCGACTCGGGCAGCTACGCTGACGGGACGGCCACCTGGCACCAAACTCCAACAGTTCCAGGAAGGAAAGATCAAAAAAGCAAGAAGAAGTCTGACGGTGAGTTATTCACTGCTGAAGTTACCAGACGGGGCGGGGTTGGTAGTTTTGTTCATGATAGATGCTCTGACGTGAAGCGCAGTGGATTTGATAACTAGGGCTTCACTTGTGCAGTCTGGTTGTTGGGTAGATTAATCAAAGACTGGCTGCAATTAGCCTTTCTTTTAAAAGGATCTGTAGGCTGATTGTTCAGTTACTGTCAATAATTTGTCCTCCATTAAAACATTTGTTGCATACTTCAAACTAAAATACAAACAACAATTTAGAGTAATGAATCAATTATATTTAAAATGCTACTTGTTTCTTCGCCAAAGCAAATAAAATGAAGCTCTTATTTAAAAGTTAAAGAAAAGAGAAGCCCAATATTCAGAATGTTGAATAAGATGAGACTAAACTGAAATGTTCAGCCTGCAACTCGCAAGGAAACAATCATTTCTGCCCCAGAGTCCCAGACTGGAAGCATCATTTACTTCTAAGGTTCTTGAATTGGCTTTGGTTTAGATGCAAAACAAAACACTGATATTGATGTCTTGGAATTCTGTGAAATTAAGGCATCAATCACAAAACTGATTTTAAAGACGCAGTCTTAATTAAATTAATTAAAGTTTTTATATTTTTTTTAGCTTTGCAGCATGCTATTCCCTCATTCAAAACAAACCTGCAGTGTGGCTTTGATTCTCTCATGCATGTTTGAGAAATGACTTGATTTTCTGTGGCAGCTATTCAGCTGTGCAAAACGCCTGGGTGGATCTAGCTCCGCCTGTGAGGACGGAGCTCCTGCCTCACAGAGCAGCCCATTGACTCATTCACTCGGCTCCTTCAGACTAGCAAGAAGCAATTAGCAAACACCTGGTGGCGCTGCCAATCTGTTGAGCTCATCATAGGAGCTACTTCTCAGTGCAATGCTGGTAAAAACATCAAGGGGTTAATAGAGGAGCCATGTTGTAATGACTTCTAAAGGTGGACTTTCAGAAAGGGCAGGAGTTTCTTAAAGAGACAGAGGCCCAATTTCAAGATGTTAAATTACAAAGTCAAATTTCTTTTAAGTTGTATATGATGTATAGCATTTTTATTACTCGATTGTGCTATATAATTATAGCATTTGGCTGGAAAACGCATGACGCACAAAATTTGACACTGAAATTGTGGGAATTAAAAAGGTTCTGATTTTTCAATGAATTTTTTTATTTTTTCCTAACTTGAGACTGTCTCCATCTTTGGTTCCAGCGTCAGATTCTACAACCTCCCTGTTTGAAGTCCCAGAAGTCTGGTAGAGCAGGGAGGCAGCCGCCCCATGCGGGCCGCCGCTCTGGGCCGCCGCCCCTGGTCAACCTCTCCTCCTCAACACTTGGTGCACGCTCCTCCAGGGTCATAAAGCACAGAGTGCTGCATGCCCCACCTTCATGCTCTCATTCAACACTTACGGATAAAGTGTCCAAAGCTACCAGCCGAGACATTTAACACAAGTTTTGAAAGCAAAAAAAAAAAAAAAAAAAAAAAAACTACAAAAAAATGTAAACAAGCCATAACAGCAGCTGCCATATTCTGATCTTATACTAGAGGAGCAGGCACCTCCTCAGAAATGACTATGTATATCTCAAACATGTATAAAGTGCAGAGAGTTTCACTTATTCACTGATGTATTCAGGCTGGAATCTGCCTCCACAGCCATTTGGCACTTTGAATGCATTCATAAATTTTATTGAGAGATGTCTCTAATCAGTTTGTATATATATATATTTTTTTTGAGTGAATTTATTTGCGCTTGTGTGAGAGGGTGCCCATTTCCCCAGTGTTTGTATTCCTGTAAATCTGTTTTCCTACAAGATAGAAATGCCATTTAATAAATCCCATCAGGATTATTTAGTTTTAACACAGTCAACCTTTTTTTTTTCTCTCATTTTAAGAAAATGGTCTTCTTCCTCAGTTTTATCAGACAAATGTGAGCTTCTAATTGAGATTGTGATATTTATTGTCGATGGCATTTTCACCCTTCATGAAAGGTGCTTTTTTTTCAGTTTTTTTTTTCCATTTGTGTTCAATGTTTTGTAACGATGTCAAAGTATGCTGTCAGCACAAAAAGATGTACAATTTAAAACATTTTTGTATGAGTTTAAAAATCCTTAAATTTCCTTTTAAAAGAAAGAGGAAAAAATTAAAGAATGTTTCTTAGTAATTGCTTCTGTTAGCATTTTTTCTACCTTGGAACAAAAATGTATTTAAAAGGTTTAAAACGATGTCCTTTTTTCTTTTTTTACAAATACAATTGCTTCAGTTTTTTTTAAAATTTTAAAATAAGCATTGGTTAAAAAATAATGAAAAATTAAGCTATTTAAAACATAGCTGATGTATTAAATACTATTGTTTTAAAACAGCCTTTTATAGGACTTTTTATATTAACATTGATTTAAAAATGTGATGCCATTAAGACTTTTTACAGCCTCTTCAACCCATGAAGTCTTTTTAAAAAAAACAATGTGTTCTGTCCCCATGATGTTTAATGGTCTGACAAAGATCTGCTTGTTTTGCTGAGATTCTTCCGAAGGCTGCCGATTTCACTCCGAAGCTGTTCAGGGATTTTCAGGGTGTTTCCCAGACGTGCTCTTTGTTCCCTTTAAAATCCGTTTTTGACTTCCAAAAAACATAAACCGGGATGATCACATCCTCTGCTGCAAGAAGAACAAAAGAGATGCTCAGAAATATGAAACTTGAGGGCAAAATGTATGCAATCTGTGCAATATATATTTCAAATTATTTGTATTTTTTTTTTTTACCTGTTGTGTCCGAGCAGCAGCACCACAGACAAGGTCCCGTCTGGGAGTGAGTTGAAGACTCTGCTCAGTCGGCGGTCCAGTTTATTCAGGAGACTCACTTCCTGATTCTACACGAGACAAAGTGGAGCTTTGTTGGTGTGCTCAACATGATAAATACAACAATAAAAAAGATGCTACTTTTGATGTACATTTTATATTTAATTAGTCTGAATCCCAAATAATTTTCAAACTGGTTACCCGACCTTCAGGTTGGATCCAGTTTTCACCTTGACCAAACTGTCAGACCCACTTAATGATCAATGCTCGCCTGTCAGCAGCATGTCCATTGAAGAGTGTGGTTTGATTAAGATTTGCAATTTTATTTGGTTCAAACTTATACGTTTATAAATAAAGGTTGATACAAGTTGGAAGTGGAGGCTTCACACCAACATAAAACTCAAACTTAGAACCATATTTTGGGAGGATTTCAATGCATTTTTGTTTGGTGCAATACCAGAAAGTCACAGTAGGTGGCATCATGTGGTTAAACGCGGCCGGAAACGCTCAGTTTTTGACCGTCGTTGTTGCTGTTCGCTCTCGATGTGTTGCGGCAATTCCGTGAGTTAACACTAGAAGTGCAATTTACAATTTCGCATTTCGTTGGAGAGCGCAACATCACTGAATGATCTCATTCACTGGACCCAGCTCGTGTCACTCTGCCGCCTCCTAGTGGCTGAAGTTAGTTTCGTTTTCTGAGTCAGGATGTGAATCTGACGAGTTTCTGGACAAAACTATTCATCCCTCTGGGCTTCCGTCCCCCCATCGCGAGCATCAAGTTTTGAACAGGAGCAACTTTATGACCAAAAAATAAAAATAATAAAAAAAAATATATGTATTCTAATTGTCAATTACTTGAACAATTTTATATATTTATAAATATTTCCAGCCAGGAGCCTTTTTGTCACCTGCGCCATGCATGCTGGGTTGATGACGTGGTTGGGTACGTCATCAACAGGGAGGCTAACTACCTATACTTTATTATATGGTCATATTGCACTTGACTGGTGTGAATTAATTTTTTTTTACATCTAAATTAAATATTTCTCTGATAAAACTTATTGCTACAACTAATAATGGACACATTGAAGGGAGTTATTAACGGATGAATGACGGGTTTTATAGCAGAACATGATCAAAGCATGATGTTATGAACATCTACGACACAATCTCTCTTCGTTAAGGTGGTGGTATGTAACTTTTCTATTAAAAATATATATATATATTTTACATTTGTTACATGTGTCATTAAATCATGAAAGTAGTAGATGAGACCATCTGTGAAAAAATTCAAGGTAACTACAGAAACACACGGCTCAATCAGGAACAACCAATCAGAGCCAGGAGGAGGGTCTTAGCGCTGTCAATCAATGTAGCTAGTTAGCATGGCCACCAATGATGGCAGACAAATGGTTTTTCTGAGAAGATAAGTTGTTTCTCCGCAATTAGCACTCTGAGCAGCGCACACATGAGCATGATGATCCACAGGACCCGCCTCTTTGCTCTGATTGGTGGAGTACCTGTCTCATACTGTCAGGACATAGAGACGACTAACAAATACGTGGAAAACAATTTCTTTTCTAAAACTCACACACCAGCTTTAAAAATAATGATACAACATTAGAAATGAAACAGTAATGATTAAAACAGAAAAGTCTGAATTCTCAGTCTCCAGTTCTGACATCTGAGGTAAACAAAGCATATTTACCCTCTGAGTCCCATCGTAATTAAAAGAGTCAGCTCTCTGCTCGTCCATGGCTTCCTCCTCTTCGTCTTGTGTCTTCCTCGATGTCGCCATGCCAACCCATGAATGTAAGTGTGGTGGGGTGATCGACGGCCATGTTGGATACCCGTTTTTCAGCAGGTCCTGCGAGGAGCCGAGTGCCGCGTGTTTGCTATCGGAACTCTCAAACTCTGTCAAACACATAAATGTCAGGATGTACATTTCTGCAAAACGTCTCGTGAACACGGAAAAAAAAACAACAACAAAAAAACAAACAAACTACACGTCGTTCACCCACCAATGCATGCGTGCCTTGCATGTATACGGGGCAGGGTGACGCTTTTGATTGACCCAAAGGGACTGAATGTCTCTCTGAGACTTTCCTCACTCAGGTCCGGTGCGGTGGTCCAGGGATGCAGCTGTTTGCCGTTTACTTTAGAGGTCTGTAGCAGCCCGTTCGTTTGTCTGCCAGGATGGTAACCGTCAGGTTTCCATCCTGGCAGACGGCCGTTAACTGTAGCAGAAACGTTAAGTCCCTCAGCCACATCCTGAGTCAGTCTACTGACGTAAAGCTGATTGCTGTTAACTCTGTCGCACATTAGAGCGTCCAGATTCAGATCCAAGTCCAGCATTGACTCTTTGACAGGCCTCTGCACCTGGAAAATACATAAAACATATGAATAACATTTTTAGAAAACTCTACAAAGGTTTGAGTGGAACAGCGATGCCTAAAGGGATTCGAGGAATCAGAATCAGCTTTCCTGGTCAAGACTGTGTTCAGAAACAAGGACTTGTAGATAAAAATTTGTACATTTCTGATGAAAAATATCAGAAATATTTTTGAAAACAAGAAAATTTCTGAGCTTAAAACATTGAATTTTTTCAGGATTAAAAAAAAAAAATCCTGAGTTTAAGCTGAAAATTAGCTAGAAAAAAAGAGCAATTTTGTCATTAATCTTGGAAATTTTATAGAAAAAGCCAAGAGATTTCTTAGTTTAAAAGTAACAAATTCTGCAGAAAGAAACCCTCAAACTTTAAGAATTTAAGCTGGAAATTTGCGTAACAAAAACTAAAAAAATAAATAAAAGAAAATTTAGATTAAACTCAGAAAACTTTTGAAAAGTGAAGATCTGAAACTTTTAAAATGTCCACATTTTTATTGAAAATGTCTTGGGGGGTTTTTTCAACAAATTTTTAACATTTCAAAATCAGAAATTAAGTTTTTTTTTCTGGAAGATTTGAATTATTTGGCAGAAATTGATTGCATTTTTTTCTTTTTCAAATCTACAATGACAGACATAAAAGTTTAAATACATAAATAGAGGAGGAATAAGAAAGAGCGAATGGAGAAGCTCTACCTTGATGATCTGACCCGACACGCTGAACCCATTCAGAACTTCTAAAGCGAGCGTCGCTCCTTCTAGCATCTGAAACTCCACCTTGGCGTGAATCTGGAAATTAAATATAATTTAACAAGAAGAAGAAGTGACCAACCTCATCCAGAGACGGTGAAAGTTGTTTTTCTTTTTCTCTTTGTATGATGAACAAACATAAACATGAAACCCACCCTGACTCCTGTGTTCCACATTTGGACTTTGTGGACCGGCCCGCAGCAACCAAACAGCCGCTTCACTTCTCTTTTGGAAAAGTTGGCTGGAAACGGCCCGGCAAACACGGTGCACATGTCCCGGAGGACTGCGGAGACCTGCAGGTTGAAAACACGCGCGCTTTTTACACCACCTGCACAAGCGCAACGTCTACCGAGCGTAGCGAACAGCTCACGTTGTGATACAGCTGCTGCTGGTGGAGACGGTGAACGTAGTTTTCTTTCAGATGGTTTGAGAAGGACGAAAAGCGAAGGACAGACAGGAACAAGTGACTCGTCTGGTTCCTGAAGCAGAAGAGCATCTGCAGAAGGAACGGGATTACTGCAGCACCAGAGGAGGCCGTCAACACAACTACATACGTCTGTTTTGGGTTTTTTTTTGATAAAAGATAAACTGAAGAGGCTGTTGGTTACTCAGAGGGGAGAAAACTGTAAGCGTTTCAAATCTTCACCTCTTTGTCAGATCTGTACCAGCGCTGACGGGACAGGTCCAGATCAACGTAGGAGCGCTTTCCCAGAAATGCGACGGGGCGGCTGAGGCTCTGCAAAATGTCTGCAAACCTGCGTGAGAAAGTGGGGGGGTGGAGGGGTTGTTAAAAACTGAAGCAAAAACATGACAGTTTCACTGATTTTCTCATTTATTGAGGCAGAGAGAGGAGCAGCTCCTGTTTGGATCAGGTTGAAAACGCTTAAAGTATCTTGTGATACTCTCCATCAGTGAAGCTCAGGGGGAAATAGAGGAGGCAAGACTTGACAAGAAAAAAAAAAAAGTTGTGCCAAAGTTTATTTTCAGAATAAAACAGAATAGAATAGACCCAATCTGCTGGGTTTCCATAGATATAGGGTTCGTACGTTTTTCCTGCCGTAAAATTGAAGCATTTTTCAAGGTAAGTTTTCAAACGTCTCCAAAGCTACACTTTAGAGATGACAATAATTTGAATTGATTTTAAAAAAAGAGTTTCAATTCACTATTATGTGACATTTATTACTGTAATTAATAATGTATTGCAACAGTATTCTCCATTCAACAGCAGGGAAAA